CCTTGTTCCTGACGCCCCATTCGCTCTCAATGGAACGACCATCTCCGAATGCAACAGCTATGTCTACCTAGGTCGAGAGGTCAACATGACAAATGACCTGGCACCCGAGTTGTGCAGGAGGAAGAGAGTGGCTTGCAACGCCTTCAAGAACATAGAAGAAATAGCTAAGAGGACGAAGAACCTCCGGCTCCAGGCACATCTCTTTGATTCCACTGTTCTTCCTGCATTAACATATGCCTCAGAGACCTGGGCCCTACGCAAACAGGATGAGAATGCTATTCAGGTCTCCCAAAGAAGAATAGAAAGAGCTATGCTTGGAATATCACGTTTCACTCAAATGAGAGAACGAATCCGGAGTTCTGACATCCGTCGATGATCAAGGATCAGGGACGCTGTCTCATTTGCCAAGGTGTCGAAAATCAGATGGGCTGGTCACGTAATGAGATTTAAAGACGACCGCTGGACTAGAGCTGTTACTGATTGGATTCCACGGGATGTCAAGAGACCGCGTGGCCACCCACCTACCAGATGGTCAGACTTCTTCGTCAAGATCATGAACGATCGGTTTGAGGCCCTTCATGTTCCCGGAGCGAACAGATGCCATTGGGCTACACTAGCACGCCACAGGGACAAATGGAGACGTTACTGGCGCCCGCTCGAGCAAATCGACGACTAACGGGAAGTTAAGTGATTAAGTGATACACTGTCAGAGCTCCAAATTTATACTTGGTACATATGCATGATTTATTGTTATGCTTTTATTTTATATTTTTATATATAAATATATATTTCATATATTTTTATCTTTTTATTTTTAATGATTCCTAAAAATGGTTTAGGGACTGCACCCAGCTGTGCTCATGGTTTTTTTCTGGCTCTGCACTCAGGGACCACTTCTGGTTGTATTCAGGGGACTGTATTCAGCATTAGGGATCAAAACCTGGTCAGCTATGTGCAAGGGAAGTATCCTACCTAACATATTCTTTCTGATCCATATAGAAAATACTTATCTGAAAAATGTTTATCTAACACAATAGAATTTCCTAAAAGTGAGTACTAAGAATTGGATGGGAATAGAAAAAATGAAAAAATAAGAAATATTAAAATACAACATAGAAAAATATTAAAAAAACAAACATAAGAGGTAACAATAAGGTGAAATAGGTATGGGAAAATTAGAATTGTATTTTCAGGACTGTCCTCTTCTCCTGGAAAAAGACACATTTTTTTAAAAAAACATTGAACACCATTTACATCTAAATTTTAAATCTAATTATATTTATGTCTATTACTTTTAGCTCATTAAATATTTTAGAGTAACAATAAAAATCATCTGAGCCAATACATTAACATATTTGAGGAATTCAGTGAAAACCTGAGAAATGCTTGCAAGCCTGAACTTGAAATATATTCACTGTTACTGTCCTCCGTTGTTCATTGATTTGCTCGAGCGGGCCCAGTAATGTCTCCATTGTGACAATTGTTACTGTGTTTGGCATATCGAATATGTCACGGCTAGCTTGCCAGGCTTTGCATGCAGGCAAGATACTCTTGGTAGTTTGCAGGGCTCTCCGAGAGGGACAGAGGAATCGAACTTGGGCCGGCCATGTTGGCTGAGTGTAAGGTCTACCTGCTGTGCTATCACTCCACACCTGAAATATATTTAATATATCAAGTGATCAAGTGATTCATTTAATTTAATGAAATATATTAGAATATACTTATCTACAGCTTGTAGATGAAATATATTAATCCAAATGCCAAAATGGCTACATCATTCTGAGACTCCAGAGAAAGAACTTTTTGGGGACAGGTTGGTGCTGCCAGGGTTGAGTCATTGTTGAGTAGCACCGTAGTACCATCCTCCCGTTGTTTATCGATTTGCTCGAGTGGGCACCAGTAACGTCTCCATTGTGAGACTTGTTATTACTGTTTTTGACATATCAAATACACCCCGAGGAGCTTGCCAGGCTCTTCCTGACAAGATGTCAGAGATACTCTCGGTAGCTTGCTGAGCTCTCCAAGAGGGGCAGAGGAAATGAATCCAGGTCAGAGGCATGCAAGGCAAACACCCTACCCTCTGTGCTATCGCTCCAGCCCACTGTTGAGTATAGAGGTGAAAATTTGATTTATTTTAAGTTAATCAAGAGGGAAAAAATTATGAACCTAATGCAAAAGCAAGCAACTCAACTCACTTGTGGAGAATAAAAACTGTTCTCAAAATAATTACAAATAGTACATCTCCCCTACTTGCACCCCCTAGGCTTTCCTATCCTCCAGGGAAAATTAGGAAATTGCTTTACATCTCCTCAGAGCAAGTCTCAAAGGGTGAAAAGAATCCATAAATTGCTCCTGCTGAGGTTACATATGAAGTACATGGGGGAACCAAGATAGAAATTTCAATTCAGGTAAACAGAATCTCTCTGCAAGGCTGTGTTATCAACATGCCCAAATAGTTTGGGTGACACTTGCAAAGTAACTCTTTTATTCTATGGCAAATCTTGGTATTATAATAGGATAGAACTTCTCTCCTTCAGATTTGCTTTTCAAATATTTTCTTAAATGCAAAAAAAAATCTTTGAAATGCCTTGAACTTTTACTTTTATACCTTTACTTGTTTCATAATATATACGTATATGTATATATGTATATATGTATATATAATGTACCATAATATTTTTATAATGCATACATAGATATTTAATCAGAAATAGAGATCAGGGGACAAAGAGGAACAGAAGGTAAGATGCTTGCTTTGCAGGTGACCTAGCTGAGTTAGATTCTCAGCTTTGCAAATGAAACCCCTGAGCACTAACAGGAGCAACCCAAATATAAAAGGCATAAAAACCCCTAAGCACAGTCAGGTGTTGCCCAAATTAAATATTGGTCAAAACTGAAAGCAAAACTTAAAGGAACCAGGGCTGAAAAAATATGTATGATAATTATTCAGGTGAAATTACTCTTTTGTTCCTGATAATGTCCACCTAAAGCTTTAGAGTTTAGCAAATTCACTAGGCATTTACTATTGCCTTCTAAAGATTGCACATAATAAATATTTGATTCCATTTATATTTTTCCTGATATCTTGATGAGCACAAAGGGAGTTTCCTTTATGTTCTGAGAAGGGAAAAGCAAATTTTGGAGTCTGTGAGATTTTAAAGACCCAGTTTCGTGAAAGAATAAACTCTATAGCTTGTTAAATATCTAGTGGAACTTATCACAAAGAACACATAACTTTCTTAGGTAGAGATTTCCAAACTAATTTGCCAACTCCCCCATCCCTGTTATTTTGGCTTTTTGGGTCACACCCGGTGATGCTCAGGGGTTACTTCTGGCTCTGTACTCAGGCATGACTCCTGGCAGCACTCAGAGGGCCATGTGGGATGCTGAAGATCAAACCCAGATTGGCTGTGTGCAAAGCAAACACCTTCTCCACTGTGCTGTTGCTCCAGCCCCAATTTCACCTCTTTTAAAAAGAAAAATTGCTCAGCAGCTCACTGAGGAATCTATGTTCTTTAAGTTAAAAAATAGAGTCCCTTCATTCCCACTTTCACCAGAGGTTACTTCTCCATTATCCCAAGACTGATCCTTCCAAAGCCCTACCTCACTTTAAGGAGTGATATCATTCATTTAGGGCACAGAATCCTAGAATATAACTTTAAAAATCTTAGTCTGATAAACAGCTTATATGGCAAACTACTAAAAGCAGTTTGATTTTTTATAGTCTAAAGTTGTTGATAAAAAACTTCTCTACCTTCTTAAATTCTATGAAATCAGCACTAAATATTATATTTTTTATTTTAGATTGCTTATTACAGCAGCTAAAGATCTATCTTTCTACTTATTCCAGTGATGTGACTTAAAATAAATTTCATAACAATAGCTCAATATTTCTAAGATAAGGCACAGGATATTTTGTTAGAATATTGCATCATATAAATTATGGGGGTTTTTTTGAAAAAGTATATATTTCATCTGCATATATTTATGCTTTAATTTGGTAACTGGTTAATATTACTATCTTATTTCCTAGACATTCACAGGAAAAACCTGCATTTTTCTGTGTACTCAAATTTAGTCTGTTTCTTATTTTTTATATATATGTATGGATGTTTTTTAAACTATACATTGTATCCATATTTAAAAACCTTGGACCATATTTTAAGCCACTAATCTTAGTAGCTCTCTTCTAACTCAATCTACTCTGTTTTGTTTTTTATTGTTGTTTTCTGTGTATTAGTCATATAAATTCCTATTGTATTTATAAATGCCCAGTTTAAATATAATATTATAATGTATATATGTATATGGGCTGGAGCGATAGCACAGCGGTAGGGCGTTCGCCTTACAAGCGGCCAACATGGCCAACCCGAGTTCAATTCCTCCGCCCCTCTCGGAGAGCCCGGCAAGCTACCAAGAGTATTCGATATGCCAAACACAGTAACAACAAAGTCTCCAATGGAAACGTTACTGGGCCCGCTCGAGCAAATCGACGATCAACGGGAGGGCCTTTACCTTTACCTTTATATATGTATATATTTTAGGGGTGAAAATATCTTGGTATATATCAGTTACAGTTAAAATAAACCCAGGGAAGAAAACATACTTTAGTTATCCTGTAGGGAAATACATGCAAAACACTTTAAGTGAAATATAAATAAAACTATCTCAAAGGAGAATACACTATTGGTCTAGTTTCAGTCTTATGAACAAGATCAGTGATTGGTCAAGTAATCATTGTATCCTAAAAAAGAAACTGCAAATGTATTTTTTGTTTCCAACTTGCCTCTATCTGTGAGGAAATATGCATGTTAATATGCATATATTATGCATACAAATTATGCATGTTCTATTTATGCGAAGTGCATGTGTTAGGGAGATGGAATTACATATTATTACATTTAAATTTGTTTTAAGATCTTTTATATATATAACAGATTTTTATACATGAGATTTCTTAATTATTGCTGGTGATGTCTTTCTTCAGAATATGTGTATTTATGACCTCAATGGACAAACACAATCTCACCGGGCTGAAGGAATTCATCCTTCTGGGAATCACAGACCGTCCAGAGCTGCAGATTCCCCTATTTGTGCTCTTCCTCGTCATCTACTTGATCTCACTGGTGGGCAACCTGGGCATGGTCATCCTCACCAAGATGGACCCCAGGTTGCAAACACCCATGTACTTCTTTCTCAGACATCTGGCGCTCACGGATCTCGGCTACTCCACCGCTGTGGGACCCAAAATGTTGGTAAATTTCCTTGTGGAACAAAATATAATCTCCTTTTATTGTTGTGCCACACAGATGGCTTTCTTCATAATGTTTATTATTAATGAACTTTTCGTTCTGGCAACAATGTCCTATGACCGCTATGTGGCCATCTGCAATCCTCTGCTCTACACAGTTGTCATGTCCCAACGGTTGTGTCTGGTGTTGGTGACAATTCCCTATATCTACAGCACCTGTATTTCTCTTCTAATCACGATAAAGCTTTTTAATTTATCCTTTTGCAATTATGTTGTCAATCATTTCTACTGTGACAATCTGCCTGTGCTATCATTGGTCTGCTCGAATACACAGGAGGTTGAGTTCCTGATATTGATTTTCTCTGCTTTTAATTTGATTTTTACTCTTTCAATAGTCATTGTGTCATACCTGCTCATCCTCATTGCTATCCTCAGGATGAAATCAGCTGAGGGGAGACGCAAAGCTTTTTCCACCTGTGGATCCCATCTGACTGTGGTCACTGTGTTTTATGGGACTTTGACATTTATGTATGTTAAGCCCAAGTCCAGTCACTCCTTTGACACAGATAAAATGGCCTCTATATTTTATACCCTCATTATCCCCATGCTGAATCCATTGATCTATAGCTTGAGAAACAAGGATGTAAAATGTGCACTAAAAAAGCTATGGAAAAAAGTATGCAGTATCTTTTCTTAAAGATGACTATTTTATTTTATTTCTGTAAATTGTATATCATCTTCAAACCATGATGCATGTACCTTTAGAAATAAAATCATATACATATAAGTTCAACATATGTTAAGAAAATACCTTGCATATTCCCTTAATTTTTTCTTAGTTCTATAAATATATAACTTGAAAAATCAGAATAATCTGCTATTCTGAGAGACAAAATTATATATACTTAATATAAAATGGGTGCTATTAGTGAATGCATTAGGGCACTGGATATAGTCCATCAAAGCCACAATAGATTGCATCTACGATGTCAAGTGGGAAAAATAGTAGACATAGAGGGAGGTTTAAATTGCTTATCATTCTAAAAATTTTAAATAAATATTTATATTGAGGGGCAAGAGAGACAGTTCATGCTTAAGGTGCTTGTGTTGCACACAACCAATGCCTGTTGGATCCCTGGTTCCATGCATGGTCCCCTAAGCACAGATCAAGGAGTAAGACCTGAGCATTGATGGGCAGACTTTCAAAATAAAAATAATAAAATAATACTTTAATATTAATATGTCTTCATTGCTATGTGTGTATAACTTCAGTAAGTATATATTTCCTCTACTTTATTTGCTTAAAAAATCAACCATGATTGTGGCTTCGGAAACTTATTGCTATGATCATAAATTCAAAACCACCATTTACATTTGTTCAAATATTCGTGTTCCATACAGGGATTTTAGAGTTATTTCTAAATTATATCAGCATTTTACAGATGAGCCCAAGAGAGAATAAGAATTCAACAAACTTGACATGTCAGAAACCTATATCAATAGAGCATCCAATTTTGTCTAAATCATTTTACTCTCTCAGTAGATAAATTAATTGCATGCTATTCTTGGATCTCCCATGGAAGATTATAGTATATGTTTTGTTTTTTAATCAAAGTGATCTTTATTCAAAACTAATGCAAAATTACATTTCAAATATTAAAATCATTTGTTACTTTTATATATCAATTGAAAATAAAATAATTCTTAATTAAAAATCAGATTGACGGGTTGGATCTCATGTTTTCAATTTTGTTAACTCCACATGTTTGGATATATAGCTATACCACTCCTCTCCATTCCTCTATAAGCTACAAGAAAGTAAAACTGTACTTCTCAAGGATGCAGGCCAGGGTGGTGAGATAAAATGGAACCTGGAGACACTAGCAGATGGAAGTTGACACTGGTGTTAGATTTGGTCCTCGAACATTATATGTCTAAAATGCAACTAAAAATACCTTTATTAATCACATTGCCTTGCTAAAAAATTAGATTATACTAAAATATCTATAAAAATTAAAAAGGTAAAGGTAAAGGCCCTCCCGTTGATCGTCGATTTGCTCGAGCGGGCCCAGTAACGTCTCCATTGGAGACTTTGTTGTTACTGTGTCTGGCATATCGAATACTCTCGGTAGCTTGCCGGGCTCTCCGAGAGGGGCGGAGGAATCGAACTTGGGTCGGCCATGTTGGCCGCTTGTAAGGCGAACACCCTACTGCTGTGCTATCGCTCCAGTGATTAATTAAATAATGTTAATTTAATTAACATTAAAATGTTAATAAAGTGTTATAACTTTGTGTAAATAGCCTGTACTATGTTGAATTAGGTTTTCTGTTTTTCTTTTTTTTTGTTGTTTATTTATTTATTTTTTTAATTTTTATTAGTGAAACACCATGAGGTACAGTTGTGGTCATTACAAGTTTTTGTGCTTGTGTTTCAGCTATAAAATGATCTAGTATCCAAACCTCTATCAGTGCCCATTGTCCACACCAAAAGATCCCAGGATCCCTCCCAACCTGCCATTCCATTTCACCTCTATGGCAGGGCACTACCTTTTGTTCTCTCTCTCCTTTTGGGTCCTGAGGTTTGTGAAAGAAGCATTGAGTGGCAATCATGTTTGGTCTATAGTCTACTTTCAGCATGTATCTCCCATCCTGGGAGGATACTCACAACACCCTTTACTTGAAGTTCCCTTCTCTATCTGAGCTGCCCTTTCCCCTAGCATGTGTGGCTGGCCTTCAAGCCAGGGAATGAACCTCCTGGTACTTATCTCAATTATTCTTAGATGTTAGTCTCCTATTTCGTTGTGGAATCGTCCACCGGGAGACTCCCATGTCCATCGTTTAGATTCTGCCTTCTGGAACTGTGAGTTACCATGAATGGTCTTGGTCGACATGATGAACTCAGACAGTCTCTCACCCTGTTCGTTCCATTCTAGGCCATGGGTCCTGATGTGAAGTTCTTCAGCTGATCTTCTCGGTCCTATCTTGGCATTAAAATCACCCACAATGATCTTGTAGAAGGTGTGGTCTTCTTTATAGAACTTCTCTAGCTCCATGTAGAACTTCTCGATTTCTCTTTCATCATAATGAGATGTTGGTGCGTAGACAACGAAGATAGAAACTGCAGGCAGTGAGCCACATCTATTTAAATGTAAACGTCCGATTCGGGTTGTTAGGCATTCGAATGAATCAATGCTCTTGGCCAAGTTTGTGTTGACAAGGACACCGACGCCTCCAACACCTCTTTTATCGCATGTTCCGAGGAACAATTCTTCTCCGGTGTCGAAAACGGCATGGTGAGATTCGTGCCTTCTTGTCTCGGTCAGACCAATGATGTCGTACTTGATCATTCGCGCTTGTACCATCAGGTCCTCGATGGATGCATCTGATGCTAGCGTACGTGCATTGAAAGTACAGACGATCATTTTTGTCTTCCTTCGTTGTGGCAGCCTAGGTCGGCCTTGAGATTTTGTCGGCCTCTCCTTTCTCATCCTTCTCAGTGCTGCCATGTCGGTGAAGCCTTCAGGGTCAGGTGAATGAGACCAGTTGTAGTTACTGGTTTTGGCATATCGAATACACAGCGGATAGCTTGCCAGGCTCTTCCGTGCGGGCGGAATACTCTCGGTAGCTTGCCAGTCTTTCCGAGAGGTATAGAGGCTTTTTGGGTGACCTCTAATCACCCTTGTAGGTGTTACCATATTTGAACCCTATCAAATATGGTACGACAATTCCAGAAGATGGGTATTTAGTGTCTTATGATGTGTTGCGCGGCCGCTTGCAGCCGCGCGGGTCCGGAAAGCGTCCTGGAGTGTGGCGACGGCTGGGTAGTGGAAGTAGTGTCGAGAGTGGAAATCTGCCAGTGGGGTATTTATCTGGGTAGGGTGGGTCTCCTGTGCACAATTCGATCCCTGGGTGGTTGATGGAAGCAGACAGGGCAGGGTAGGGTGGGGCTCCTGATTAGAATCCCTTTGTCACCTGTGGTGGTGGGAGCAAGCAGAGAAGCTCTGTCCCTGGGTCCGCCGAGCCTGGAGTCCAAGGTCTCAGAGAGTTCCACTTATCTTGTTCTGTGGGTCTTCAGTTGTGCGTGGGTCTCGGCCGGAGCTGCCGCGCGGGTCCGGAAAGCGTCCTGGAGTGTGGCGACGGCTGAGTAGTGGAAGTAGTGTCCACATCATATTCAATCGACGGTTTTGCCTGACTGATGTCGCTGTTGTCCCAAAATTTCGAACGGGATCGGACCACCGTCTCCTTCGTGCAAAATTCTATTTCACAGAGCGGGGAGAAAGGGCTGCAAAGTTCAAAAAGAGAACTCCCAGAATGACCACCAACTGGGAACTCTTTGGTACTATTGCGGCAACATGGGAAGATGCCATTGTTGACAACATTGACGAGGAATACGATCGACTGGTCAGCACCTCCATGAATGTGCGAGGAACGCCAAGAGAGAGATAGCCACAAAAAGTCGCCTATCTTCGAAAACTCTTGAGCTAATTCGCCAGCGTGGTTTGGCGCATGCCTCAGGAAACCGCAAGCTAACGTCCGAGCTTGCAAAGCAGTGCAGAGATGCGATCAAGGAAGACCTCAAAGAGAGAAGAGCAGAAGTACTGGTAGATGCGGCAGAAGCCGGGAAAAGTATTCGTAACGCCCGCCTGTCCTTCGCCAACTATAAGACCAAGATGACTGCCCTCCGACGTCCTGATGGATCCATCACATCCTCCAGAACGGCAATGGAGAAGATTATCCATGACTTCTACTCAAATCTCTTCGATAGCCATGTCCACTTGCCGACATACCAAATTCCACAGGATGGGTATGTCGTTCCTAACGTTCTCCCTTCCGAAATCCGACACGCCATTTCGTTGGTAAAGAAGCAAACAGCACCCGGCCCAGACAAGGTCAGACCTGAACACCTGAAGAACCTGCCGTCAGTACTCATCAATACACTGGCTCGGCTCTTCACTCGCTACCTGTCTGAATGCAAGGTTCCGTCCCAATGGAAAACCAGCAGGACCGTACTACTGTTCAAGAAGGGAGACATCCATGACATTGGCAACTATCGCCCGATCTGCCTATTGTCTGTCATCTACAAGCTGTTCACTCGAGTCATCCTGAATAGGATTGGCAGAACACTAGATGAAGGACAACCATGCGAGCAAGCAGGGTTCTGCAAAGGATTCAGCACCATCGACCATATCCACACGGTAACCAAGCTCATTGAGGTTTCTCGGGAGTTCAAGATGCCGCTCTGCTTAACGTTCATTGATTTAAAGAAGGCCTTTGATTCTGTTGAGACGGAAGCGGTCATTGAAGCCCTAGCCAATCAGGGCATTCAAGCCCAATACATCAGGATCCTCCGTGAGCTGTATTGCGGATTCACTACCAGGATCTCACCATTCTACAAAGAAGTGATCGTTGATGTCAAGAGAGGGGTGCGGCAGGGTGATACCATTTCACCGAAACTCTTCAGTGCCACCCTCGAGAACATCATGCGACGACTGGAATGGGAAGGAATGGGAGTGAAGATAGATGGTCGGCAACTACACCACCTCCGCTTTGCTGATGACATTGTTTTAATAACACCAAACATCAGCCAAGCGGCACAAATGCTGGCCGACTTTGACCGTGAGTGTGGAAAGGTAGGACTACAGCTGAATCTTACGAAGACAATGTTTATGAGAAACAGCCTTGTTCCTGACGCCCCAT